TTCTGGTGCTCAACCCTTTCATCCCAGATCCGGCTGCACATAAATCGAACTTGGCTTTATTTGCACTACGTGCAGACAGGCAGATAAATAATCAATAGCCTGCTTGCAAATTTAAAAATGTTACGTAAATATAAAACATTGAAAATTTCACTTTTTTCTGCAATTCAATATATTCAATTAAACTAAATTAGTAGCTGGAAAATCGTTCAAGTGTCATCTGCATAGATAGCTGAAATTTTCAAGTTCGATTCAATGAATGCATGCCGATAAATTGTCCGTGTCGTGTATGAAAAGTCAACAAAATGCTATTTAGATAAAACTTAAATTGTTGCATGCAACGAATGCCACAGTAAAATTGCATTTTAAATTATATTTTGTTTGGTGATTTGCAAATAGTGCACATACGCTCAGCTGCCGCTAAACGCAATCAATTCTTGTTTATTCTTGTGCATTTATTTGTTTATCAAATTTGCACGAATTGAATTTATTCTGAAAAACTATTCAAGAATAGATTGTGTATGCTCCTTTACTCAATTGTCTTACAATTTCAGTCATAGCGAAATTAATGTAAATATAAATTGTGTTTGCTATATTTGATGATAATTTGTTTGCAAAATAAAATGTTGTTCAAGTACAAGATTTGAATGAGCTTTAAAATTATTGTGTTGCATTTTAAGAGTTTAGTTTTAGGTTTAAGTCTTGCATTGCATGAAGCCCTAAAGATCGACGTGAAGTGTGAAAAGCGCAATAATATTAATAGTAAATATTGATTCCTAAGTAAAACAATCATTTTTTAGCTATAAAAAAAGGACTCTCTTTATAAATAATTTGTGGACTGTTATAAGAATATTTGAATACATATTATGCCATGGCCATTTTTTGCTGGTTAAACAGCTTTTTACCACTTTAAGTGGCAGCTCAAGGATTATGTCTTAAAGTGGTTTCACTTCAACAGGCAGAAATGCGATAAAAGAACACTTGAAGACGATTGGATGGTTGCAGCTTGCAGCCTGAGATACAATTTGCGGTTGGCTCAATGCGTAGGCGAAAATCAAAGACAAATTGCCCCGCCGCCTGCTAAGAGTGCATTATGTGGCAAAACTAAAACAACGTCGCCATCTGCTGTCACTGGCAGAAAATTGTCAGACAGAGCGACAGAGAGAGAGAGAGAGAGAGAGAGAGAGAGAGAGAGATAGAAAGAGAGGCGTATAGGGTTGTGTAGCTGGCGGGTGAAATAACTGGCATGTGGCCCAACTATAACGTCACAAAGTCAATTCATTGCCTGCAGCCAACGCACATAAATAAGTCTCAGTGTCAGTCTGGAGTTGAATGTGATTTCAACTTGGATTTTACGTTGACAGATGCATTGTGAGTAATCCTTGCGTCACTCGTCACCATTAGCTAAGTAAATATTTAACTGGAAACGCACTTATGTATCACGTATACGCATAAAAACGCAACTGGGCTAAAGTTATAAAAGTAATAACAGTTGTTAAACAGTCAGAGAGAAAGTTTGTCGTTTATCATGGCCCGAATGCATTAAATTAAAAATAAGTAAATGGAAAAACAGTTTGGCAATTTGTGACTCAGATCTGAAAAAGCAACAGATCCAAAATGTTCACAACATGCTTTCGTTTCCGCTTTATATCTGTCTCTTGTTATTTACATAAAGTTTTCGATTTGTTTTCTGTGACGCTTGTCAGCGTTTCCGGCAATAATAAAATAGTTGCAATTCTGTATTACATTTTCGCCTTCAGTTAATATAAAATGGTCAAAGACTATTTTGAAGAACTATGCCAAAGAAAGTTATAATTGCAATCTGTGTTTTAAGAAGGTAAACAAATTTTCTGACACCATTATTTTTACTTACGTTTTCAAGTTGTATTTATATTTAAGAACATCCTCTGGAGTCCCAGGTTGCAGTATATTTATTTGTTGCACTTTTTTTGTTGCTTTATTGCATTAAAATTTATTGCGAGAGCAAAATAAAAGTGTTGCATGCATTTCTTTATTTTCATTTTTATGTGTTCCGCCGTAATCAGTTTGGCGTAGTGTTTGAGCGCCGGAAACAGCTAGTTTATTCTTAACAGCTGGCAGCAAGCAACACGTCGCACATCTGTTCTGAACCGTTGTTATCGTTGTTGTTGCTGCTGTTATTGTTGTTGCATGCATTTCGCTTGATAAGCAAATGGGGGTAAAATATGCAGGAGACGGGCGCGGCAGCAAAATCAACACAAGCCAAAGAAAAATATGCATGTGCTTGTTACCGGTAGATTTCCATTTTAGATGTCGCCATTGCTGGCATTGTTGATGTTGTCGTTGCTTATTATTGGCGGGCGTGGCAATCATTCCTTTGAAAGTGACGACTCCTTTTTGGCCCCGCAGCTGGCAACCAATCGAATATTTAACTAATTTGCCCTTAGCGTATGGCGCCATAACCCACTTTTTCTTGTACAACTTTTGCACTAAATTTCGATCAAGCTGTGCATGAGAAGTGCTGCAAGCAACAATAACAACGCAACAGCAAATTGCGCTGCCAAGGATATTGTGGTATTACTTTTATGAGGTGGTTATTCAAAACTAACAAGAAACTGCACAAAAACCACTTTTTATACATGCAGCGACAAACTACTACAAAAGAGTTAAGAGTGTGTGAGTGCATTTGTTTTTGACATGCCTGCACTCACTATTTCTCTCGCCGAAGCAATTTTCCCACAGTATCCACAAAACATGTTGAGTAAGAACAAAATACACGTTGTTGATCACACAAAACAGGGCCGAGACCAGAGCAGACCAGACCAGACCAGACCAGTCAGTACCAGGAAAGGAAACAAGAGTTAAGACCCGAACTCGAACTGAAACCATAAAACCCACAACCGACGAAATGCGAGTCAGTTTTTTCTCTCTCTGTTTTTCTTATTCTTTGTTCCTATTGCAAGTTCAAAAGGTAGTACAAGTGGATACGACATGCAAGCTGCCTCCAACTGCAACTGCAGCAACAACTACAACTACAACTACAACAATAACAATAAAAATAATAATAATAATAAGAAAAACAAAATGAGTAAAACTAAAAACCAAAAACAAAACATTGACATAAATAAGAAAGCGGGGAAAACGTGGAATAACTGCTGTGGTTGCGGTTGCTAAACTTTTGCTGAATGTGTCCCCGAAAATAAGGTGATATCATTTGGAAGGAAAATTCGTCAGTCAACAGAAAAGTGCGAAATTTATTATTGAGTTCGAATGCGCTTTCCACCCAACTTATTTAATTTGCCCTAATGCATTTGTGTCGTAAAAAAGAGGAACTTATTTTTACTAGAGGATTCTTAAAGTGATGGAGAAGCGATAGAAAAGCTTTAGAAAAACGATTAAAAAAAGCGATAACTTTTTTCAGAGTTTTTTAACTTGTCCAAGAGGAAAGTTTGTGGCGATTTATGTGCAACTATAACTTGACAGCTGGCTACAGGGTAGCTTTCAGTCGTCCAAACCTACTTAACATTTTACTCTTGTGTTTATTTTCCATTATACTAACGACGTCAGTTCGCTCCAATTTGTTCATCCTTTTCGCCTATATTTTTGTTTGTTTTGTTGTTTGACTTTGTTTTTGTTGCTCGCTTTATACTTATTAGTAGTTTTATTTTCATGCGCTGCTTGCACGATTTTTCTTTTATTTATTTTTTGAAAGCTGTGTGTTTTTTCTTCTTCTTTATTTTTCATGTTGCGCTTGCACTTGTGTCATAAATATTTCACAACTTAAACGCAAGCGTTTTTTTTATGCAAATGCAAAGAGCGAAAAGCTTGTTGTGAAACATTATTTTTTGATATGTTAATCGCGCTTTGCATGTAATTTTCATTTTAGATTGTTGTTTGTTAAGCGGAAAACGCAGCTCATGCGACAATTGTGACGTCAGAGCTGATGTTGAATTTAAATTACGTTCAGCAAAGCCGCAAAGTATAAATTAAATGAATTAAGAAGCGGATTCTTTTCTCACACAGAGAGACACACACGCAAACCACAAGCACACATCACGCACACACACGCACACACACACATACACACACGCACACTCACATCACACACATGCCTAACACACAATCGGAAATATGCGCACATAAATGCTTGGCATTTTATTGTTAGCCGTGCTTAGGTGAGGTGTGTGTGTGTCTGTGTGTTAGGGCCATAAAAGGTGTAAGACTGCCATAAATGTCTCACAGCAGCAGCAGCAGCAGTTATTGCTATGCTTGTAGTCGTGTGCACACACACACACACACTGACTGTGTGTCATAAAATGTGCGTAAAACTTGCTTATGGCATTTATTGATAAAACGTTTGGCCAATGAATTTGTATTTAAAGCATTACTAAATAAAATGGTATTTATTGCAAATAACAGCTTTGATGCCAGTATATTAAATGCATAACCTATCAAGTATTCAAGAGATCAAAACTTTGTTTTATTTTAACAAATACTTAATGTTGTACAAATTGGAAAAGAAAGCAAGGACAAGAAAGCATATCAAAAGAATATTGGCCTAGTTTTGGAGAGTAGCAGATCTTAACATGTCACACTCTCAATCATTTTGTCTTTAATTTGAACAAAAAGTGCAGAATATGCAACATGAATATTAAACTTCACCTGAAAAGACTAAGAATAAATGAGACGTTTTTAAAGTTGAAGTAAGTTAAAAACACTTTCAGTTCTGCCAATCAATTTCAACCACGAAAAGTTGCAAAATGTGCGCTGCTGACTCATAAACTGTGCGCACATTTCGCAACCAGGCAATCTATCGACATGTATTGGCCCAGATGCTGTGTGGGCCAAGTTTTTATCGAAGAAATCTGTTATCAGCTGAAATGTTGAATGTCACACGCAGTTATCGATTGCCTGATAAGTTGATAAGAAACCGGGGAGAAAAAAAAAAACATTTACAGCACATATAAAAGCCACATACTGCCAAAAAAATATATTTCAAATTAAATCAACGCTCTTTTCACTAGCTTGCTCGTCGTAAAAATGAAGTGGCAACAATTGTTATTGCCGCTGCAACTACTGGTGTTGCACGCGTTTCACATCGGCCATGTGCGGTGTCAGCTGCAGTGTAACGCAGCGTCGAGCAGTCGACAAAAGCGCATTGTCATCCATAATCCGGCAGCGAGACAGCTGAGCGAACTGGACAGTTGCCAGTACGAGGTGGCCCCGTGGAGCCCCCAAGTCTGTCAAGTGCGCATCGATTTCGAGCGTTTGGAGCTGCCACAGCCGCACCTCAATGCTAGCAGCCAGCGAATGGAGTGCATCGATTTTATGCAGGTGCAGCGCTTTCAGTTATGCGGCCGCAACAACGGACAGCATTTGTACGTGCAACTGCTGCGCGGCCAAACCCTCAAATTGCACTTCAAACTCGGCAGCCGCTCAACGCAGTCCACGTGGCAGTTGACGATAATGCAACTCGAGTGTCCCGAACATGTGCTGTCCAGGGCCAAAAACCAGCAAACGCAGCAGCTGCCGCAAGTGCTGCCAACAGCCAACCGACCCATGTTGCCATTTCTCAACAATCTGTTGCCACGCACCATTTTCATGGGCGGCAACTCTAGACCGGGTCTGCTGCACACCCTGATGCCAAATCCGCTAGCTGATCTGCCGCTCTTGGCGCCCATGGGCTGTGATCAGTATTTTAGGGGATCGACGGGTGGCATTGTCAGCTTCAATTTTGCTGGCGGTGCTTATATGCCAAATATGAAGTATGTCATTTGTGTGGCAGGCGGTGCAAATCAGCAGATTACGTAAGCAGGATATTTAATTATATTTTCATATATTATTAACTTGAATTTACAGCTACAGCATTGAGCACTTTGCCTTGTCGAAATCCAGTGGTGCGCCTGGGGCTGGCTATGATTCGGACTGTCACAGCACAGTCAGTACTTGGGGACGTGCCTCGGACTATTTGCTAATACCCAACTCATATGTGGCTAACAATCAGGCCATACAGGCCACTTATTACTGTGGCACCGGGCTGGCCGGCACTAAGATCATCGCCCGTCCGCCCTTTGTGCTGCACTTCTCCAGCGATGGACAGACGAGCGCCACCGAAACTGGATTCCAATTGACCTACACAGTCCAGCAGTCACAGGCCCTGCTGTAAATGTCAGCCTATTATTATTATTCGGTTCATTTGAATTACTAATTGTGACACGCGTACTATGGAGCTGCCAATTGTACCAACTGTGCGATGATGTTGGCCTAATTAAATAGCAAAGTGCAATGCCCAAAATCATCTATATATGCATTTTGTGTGAATTGTGTTGTGACTGGGAGTGCCCGATAGATATATCATGACTAGGTCAACATAAGAATTAACAGCATCCATAGAGTTAGATTTGTGCGTATCGCATGACCAACCATTCAATGGATTAAACTAAACAAATTGTCGATGGAAAAATAGCTGACTTTGAATAAGTTTTTAAAAAACAACACAAAACTTCATCAACTCAAAGCACAACTTACCTGAATAATGAAGAAAACCACACAATATATGTATATATTTATATATTATTAATAGGTAAATTGAAATGCATTTATTGAACTGAGTGGTTCTTTGGTGCCCCAAGCATGTTTTTTGCAACATATTTTTTTCGCCACTTATGCACAACAGCAATTGGCATGCGAATTTTTACTTATATAATGGCAATGTTGTGTTACGTGTTTGCATACGCTGTTATCACGTGAATATTCCTTTTACCACAACCTGTGACTGCATAAGCGGATATGCAAGCATCCATGGCAATCCCAGTGACATTTTGACGATGTTGGTGGTGGTAAAGTTGCCAGTTGCCAGTTGCCAGTTGCCAGTTGCCAGTTTGGCTACCTGGTCGGTTGGCTGGCGGCCAGGTTGCCTATATATCCATGTATATTTGATGTGAATTTAACAAAATGTTGCGGTGCTGGTGTGAAAATTGTTAAATGCATTTCATGCATTTTGCCAGACGTAGCACAATTTGCGGATCAATAAATTGAGGAAAACGGATGCGGATGTGAAATTTGCGATTGAATTGATTGCAAAATGTTTGTAAGCGAATTGAGCGACAGATGTTAGGTACATGAATGTACATGCATACATACATACATACATATATCCAACTGTTCATGTAAATAATATCTTAGGCAATAAATTCCGTGTCAGGTGTGAGTGTGCAATGGATATGAAATGCAATTATGCGTATACAGTATACACAGTAAAGAGTCTGTAAGCGCTACAAAACTGTATTTGCATCGATGAACCGGTTCGATATTGCCTTGCAAATATGCATCTGTTCCAATAGAAGAAGACACAATCTGCTTTCATCATACTTTCAATGCGTTGCGCCTCAGCTCGTTTGCCTAACGACAGCAGCTTGCCGGCAAAAATTTATGCACTCGCCGCACTTCAGTATAATGGTCAGCTCAGCCCGAGTGTGTGTGTGTGTGTGTCTTTCCACTCAGTAACATCCATATACACACTCTTACACACATGTACACATGAGTGCTGTCTTCTGCTGTTCCTTTTAATGTTTCCATCCTTTTGGCAAATTGTTTTTCCAAGCAGCACTGCTGCAGCATCACTTGAAGTAAATGCTGTAAGTTTTTGGCTTTCAATTTCAGTGTAGTATTTGGCTTGGAGCCAGCACATTGACAACAAATTTGCTGCTTAAAGTTTACTCCTGTGGAGCTTAGAATTTATTATACTTAAACGAAAATTTTACAATTTTTCAATTTACGAGAGGCAAACGCTTAAAATGTGCTGCTGCATTTCACTTGCATTTGCCTTACACAGACAGCTGGATGGAAATGGCAGCTTCGTGGCTGGCTTTTTATGTGCACTTCATAAAAGCACGCGGCGGCAATTAAAAACGCACTTTGCGAGCGCGCACATGGCGTATGCGTAATATTTTGGCTGACCAAATGAATACTCGAGTTGTGCCAGCTGCTAAAATATGTTTTGTTAGCCGTGCGTAGTTTTAATTACAGCATTTTCTAGCTTCTTGTGCTCGTAAATGCCAAATTCAAAATAAACGACAAGCTCTCCCATAAATTATCATCATAAACAAAGTTGTGAAAATTACTTCTCTCTTTTTTGGTTTGTTACATTTGAGAACAAAATAAAAAAAAAAATACACCAAGCAGCGAAAATGATACAACGTTAGTTAGTATTAGAAAAGTAACACGGTTTTCATATATTTTCACATAAATTAAATTTCGTTTTATTAAAAGAGTTCTTTTGTGCTTATGCTTTATAATATAATTATGCCTTTACAGAGAGTTGTAAATAATTTGGTAAATATATACTCTAATGGGTCAGAGACGTTTTTCCAAGGTAATAAAATATTACAGTTCTCTCTGCAGATATCGAAAAAAATTATAACAAATATATTGCTGATCCCTCTTTGTGAAAAACTGAGCACGCCTCTGCCGTAGCGTATTTGTTTTATTCGCTAAATGCCAAAAAACTGTTTGAATATTGAAAACTGTAGTATTTGTTGGACGGTCGCATGTGGGAATTTCATAACAACTTTTGTATAGAAATCGTATATTATATAGAGAAAAACACGTGCTGCAAGCACTCGGCTTTTTTAAATTGAATTTTTAAATTCCGCTAAATTGTCAGTGAACGTAACTAAAATCGTCTGATTTTTTCTCTATTTTTGTTGTTATTTTTACGCTTGTGCATCCTGTCTGTTAGGGTCAACTTGGCAGCGGCTGTCCGACGCCAAAGGCCAATGCAATTTGAGCGCAAATGAAATTTGTAGGCGGCTACTGCATAACGCATAGAAAATTGCAACATAAATTTCCAAAACGAGAGTTGCAAAAAAAAAGAGACTTAAAATATGGGGGACCATGCTGTGGTTAACATTGTTGTTAAAATGTCAAATAAAATTAACTGCAAGGCGATTTATTTAATTGGGTTAGGTAATAAAAAATACGATAAATAAAACTTGCAAAAGTTTTAAATGTCTGTCTTTGTGTCTATGTATTTAATAGATATTTCATTCAGCGTGCGATGTACATTAAAAACAGCTCTGAAGCACCCTTGAATCGGGGATTAGGCAGACACAAACTGTCAGATAAGAACTGACCTCGACATTAGTATGTGCGACGACCCTTGTTGAAGGCCGTTTGCCGTCACCCGAAACACAAACATTTTCATAAACTTAAATGCCAATTAAATAACATTAAATTGTGCGAAAAATGAACTAAAGCAACACGCACGAACAACAAAAAAGAAAAGGGGAGCCTCTCTGTCGAAGGGCTGTCAACATGACAAAGGGAAAAATTAAGCAGCTAAACAAGGCTTTATAGAGGGGCATCCAAACCAAAAGCAAACAAATGAAATAAAAATAAAAAAAACAAAAAAACAAAAAAGAAAACCAGCCAATGAAGTCCACGGACAAGAGACTGGGCCCACAAAGCCAAACTGAATGCATAAGCTCATCTGAACACAACTCTGAGAGCTCAAATACACACACACAAACATATATATGTATATATATATATATACACAAATACTTGCGTACTCATCCAAAACATGCTTTGGCCTGAACACAACGACACACACACAAGGGCCAAAAGCAACAACGTAATCTATGGGTTGTCAACAAAGCGCAAGAGAAAGACACAAATATATATGGAAAGAGAGGCAGACAGAAAGAGTGAGGGAGATAGACAGATAGTGAATAAAAGACCATGGAGGATGGTAACGGAGGCATCCCGCAAAGGAGTAAGAGGGCCCAGAGCAAACAAATTAGTATGCAAGTCAGCCAGCAGATTAGGACACCAAAGTTTTCGCGACATAAACGGACAACAGCTCGAGCCGAGCAGCAACAATGGCATTTGGCTTATGTATAAAAATACCCACACACACATATATATACATATATACGTACACTGCATACCTCTGCATGACAAAACCGTTTTTTACAGTCCGTTTTTAGGCTTAAAGCGAAATAATGAAGTTGCTCACCGGCTCGATCTGTTGCTTGCTGCAGTCATATGCCAAACCACAGTGAAGACAAAAAAATAAAAATGTTGTTGTTCTCAACGAATTCCAAATACTCTGACAAATAACTACAATTCTTCATGCTCATTTTTAATTGATTAAAAAATCTGCTTGTTGTTTGCGATACATTTTTATATTTATTAAAAATAATATATTTTGCGAACACAAAAAAGATTTGATGAAATGAGAAACATCTTAATTAATTACCATTAATATTATGCTATAAATGACTTCATTGCAACAGTCTACAAACTTGAGCACTAATTAAGAGTATTTGCTCTCAGGCATATACAACATGTTTGTCTGTCGCCAGCGACGTGTCAGGCCAACCTTTGAGTGCTGAATGTTGGGGTAGTCTTTCGACAGCTTGGCTTTTTTCATCTCTCAAATTTTATTTTGCACAATGTGATATTTTTTGTGCATTTCTCTTTTAATTTACTAAAAATTCCTTGCACAACTCCAGAAATTGGGCGACGACGCGGAAGCGAAACATATTCTTAGACAGAAAAGTTATACGCGAGCAAAATTGTCAACAATTTAAATCAAGTAATTACAAAACTAGTTTCAGCTTACACAATTTGCCATGTTAGCATATTATTGTTATATTGCTCAAATCCAAGTATTCGCACATTAGTAAAATATTTACTTGGTATGTTTATCTGACATTTTAAATGTACCGTAAATCAAATGCTGTCTGAAAATTGTTCATCTAAATGTAATAAATTTCAATTGCTGAAAACGACCAATCCAGTGTAATCCAATCCAGTTTTAGTTGATTCGTTCGGACTAAATAACTTTTGGTCCGAAATGCCAGCAAATGCGCATAAATAAGTAAATAATTGAAATCATGTTTGGCTTCTATTTGAAACTGACGATGAAAAATACATATTTGCAAGAATATGCAAATAAATATCTAGCTAAATAATTTAAGACAAAAAAAAAACATAAATTTTGTTTTGATTGCAGTGAGTTCATTCCAATAAAGTCTACAAATCCGATTTATAAACTCTAAAAAAAAAAACAGTAAAATTTAACAATGCCATTGAATATTTATCTGTGGTACTCTCAAAGAGTAAAACATATTGAGTGCAGAAGATATAATAACATTCATGGCCCTAATTGATTTATGCATACAGCTTAGTTTTGAAGATGTTGTAAATTTTGAAATTGATTTTATGCCAATAAATCAAAAATAGACTTCAAATTTGTTTTCTATGATTCAATGCAATTACTGCAAAAATATTTTGTAAACTATAAACATTAATTCATACTTCATATTTAAGTTGTTTGCATTTTTTGCAAGAATTTCGTGATAGACCGTATCTGAGGCTTAATCATAACCTACGTATATTTATTAAAGTTATGGCCAACACACACTTACTGGCATATAATTTTCATATTTTCATACATTGTTTAACTTGCAACGCCACCCACTTCCTGGGACCCCGTCTCTTTGAACAATGTGTGTGCAAAACGTAGGTTTGCGTGCCAGTCGCATATAAATTAGCCGCTTATAATATTCTGTTGGCATTTTTCAAATTTCCAGTTAGCAATTTGGTAGTGTGTGTGTATATGTGTGTGTCTGTGTGTGCGTGTGTCTGTGTCTGTGTGTGGCTAGGTGAAAGAGTTCGTACGCCGTAAAGTATGCAGCTTACGTGCTCAAGGTTTCTGCTCGTGCACCACCAGGCACCACCACACATAACACGAGCCAAAACAAAGAAGAAAAAATACAATTATTAACATATTAATAAATTTTAGCATATCTGAGAGGCCATAATTTTGTGTAATTCTACACGAGCGCAGCTGGGCAACACCTCAACGCAAATTGGCAGAAAGCAGCAGCACGCCAAATTTGTGTTCCGGAATTTCGGTTTATGGCGCACTTCACCTATTTTTAACCTAATTTAATCAATTGTGCACCGACAAATAACTAAAAATATCAGTATTATCACAAAAAAGACAGGTAAAACACAGTCTTATCTCAATCACTCGCTGTTTACGCCTTTGTTCTCAAGTGGTTTAACGTCGTCAACAGCTTCAGTTTTCCACTCATTGTGCCATTTATGTTTCATAGTCACTATCACGCCGACAATCACCACAATGAGGCCAATCAATAACAAACCCAGGCCGGTGAATTGACCAATTCGTGGCACACTCAAGCCAAGCTGTAATTGAGTAAGTTGTATTGGATTTGTGGATCGTAGAACTGCATTAGAACTGACCTTGAGCAGCCTAATGTGATCATCATCCAAGTCGGCGTACAGTTGATACATAAACATCGGTGCATAGTGATCATAGGCTATGTCCTTTAAATGGCTAAAGTACAGGTAAGACAGAGTTATAGCCTATGAATTTTTTGCCATTCGATTTTAGAACATCACTCACTCAATTTCCTCATCGCGTTGCACGAACGCACTGAGCATAACTTGCCCCTTCAGGCTAATCGGTATGCCATATGTGGGCTCCATCACCACATGCATGCTATGCTCCTGGGCATTGGGCAGTAGTCCTGTCGTATTTTCTCTGTAGGACTCATCAGTCATATAGAAGTGCGGATGCGACACGTAGAAGGGACCGTGATATGTTAAGGGTGAAAAATCTAGTACACCATTTAGCGGACATTGGCGATTGGCAACGCAAAAACATTGCGTATCTGGCGACACTTGGCCGTTGTCGAGGGATAGCTCGGTGGTCTCGTACAGCCAGGCACTGATGCCCTGAACAGTAACATTCGCTATGCTGTATAGATTTATGAAGCGCGATGCATCTGCTAAAAATATGGAAATCGTTTCATGCCACTGGCGACCCGGCGCCCATAAATCCCCCGTGCTGCCATTGACCTTGCCGCATTCGCCCTCATAGTAACCCGTATGTGCAGCGCCCTTCCACAATCGGATCTCGCCCATTTTGCTGAGATCCCCACGACCCGTGTGTATCGTAAAATTGCCCTCGGCCGTCTGTGAGTTGTTCCTATTGTAGAACCAGCCGAAGTTTTTGCTATATATCGGAAACAGCGGCGAATCCAGCAGCACCACAAAATCAATGAGCTCATCGTAGAAACCATCGAATAGCCATTCTCCAGCTGTGTGCTTCAAGTGGGTGCCGCCTCCCTCGCGATTCAGGGCAAAGTTCATAATCTTACGCAATATCCGAGGATATTTGCGCACATAGCGGGCTGCAGTCTGCGAATAATACAAGAACAGTCAACTATAGAATGATCTACTTGCAATACACATATATTAATGCAACTTGTGAGTTATCATCCAATCAAATACTTCTTTCATGTGCATGCTCACCAGTGTGATGAAGTGTGGTGCAATAACGACATCGTCTAAACTTCCATTTGATTTCTCAGGCACAAAGTGAAACTCACGTCGCGCATCAAAGGTAACTTCCGGCTGCTGCCAGAAGAGGTCCTCCTTGACTTTGTAATCGCTGAATGTGTAGGGTCCCAGTTGTTCGTAGTGCGGTTTCACATCCGTATTATTGAAATCCTCCGGATTGGTCCAATTGAACAGATAAAAGGTGCTATAAACTGGCACCGGTGCGACCACCCAGCTCTTGTATAAAAACGAATTGGGCGCCAGTGGCAGCATGCCACGTATCAATTGCCGGGATAGACTTGGCCAGGCCGAGAGCAGCACAGTGCCGAGTATAACTAGAAAGGTGCCCAGGCCGAAGACCCAGATCTTCTGTTGGCGCACACTGCAACAATTGCAGCACATTTTGCAACTGTTCTACAAACACAAAAATGTCCAGTGTTTATAAGAAACGGAATGTCAAGTTTAAGGCTTTGATAAGATTGGATTATTCTAATCAGAGTCTGATCAATTTAGCTATGCAAATATTCTAAACTTATCCGTTTGATTAGATTATTGCTTTAATGGGTTAATGACTGCTACTAGTGGGGCCAAAACAACAAGTCAATTCATAAATACGTATTTTGGCACTTATAAGCTGATAACGATGAAATCTAGTTTTAGATTAGCAGGTGTCTGTTATTGCTCTTATAAATATGTACGAGCTTAATTTCTAAGTCAAATGAAAGTAACGCATAATTTTTGGCTGATTGAATTTCGCTTTAATTTGCCATTTAAAAATATGCAATATGGTTAATAAGACTGGCTCCAATCGAACTGATACTTTACTGATATCGCTACTGATTCAAGTATTGGCGCCAGAACAACAAGGTTGCCAGATAGCTTTGACCGCTTCTTGTTAGTTTATATATATATCCTATATGTCCTATATATATATTTCCTATATATATTTCCCACAGTAATATTTTGTATTCACTTTACTGATAACATTACAAGCTTTATTTATAAAAATATTAATATAACACATCAGATTCCGAAATACATTGTTCTCATTAATTTTTTACATTATTAAGGGACTTTTGGCCAATAACTAATAGGACTCAGTCACTTCCTCAGTTGTTCTTGTGGTCGGTGTCGGGACTGAGAAGTTCCGTATTATCAGCTGCCCTCTGTCCATACCAACGGCGTTTGAGTGTGAGGAAAATTCCAACGGCCAACAGGATGCAGCCCACACATAGAAGACCCACGCCCGTATAGCGTCCAATTGCTGGCAGGTTCATTGCCAGCTATAAACAGATGCCATGAATGAACTCTAACTGTAACTTAAACTACAGAAAATCGTTTCTTTTCACAAATACATACCTTTAGCTCGGAAGCGAGCGCCTTGTTAATAACCGCTGAGCTGGCCGTGGTGAAGAGTGGTCCATAGAAGCTCGGAATGCCAGTCAATATGCTGTGTAACAAAAGAAGGTTTATCTTTATATATAGTGCACTTTTAGAAATGTATTTACTGAAAATATCTGATTTCATTCCATTACTAAAAGTAGATAGGCAAACCTCAAAAATGAAGATTAATTTTGATTAAGAGAGCCAATTTCCATAACACATCTGAACTATTCTTACTTCTCAGAAATATTTTCTATCAGAAATATATTCCATTTAACAAATTTAGATTCATTTTTAGATTCTTTTTTCAAATTATAATGGTTTTTCTGAGTGTAGATGTATCTCAGACTTACTCAATGTCCTCGTCTGGTTCTATTAACAATGAGACCATCACTGCCGCATTCACCTCCAGCGGCACTCCAAATTTGCGCTCCATTATAATGTAGAAATTGTCACGTTCATAGTTTGGCTCAAAGCCAGTTATTGTGTTGGCATAACTGTCATCCGCATACATGAAATGAGATGCTGACAGATACATGGGGGCACCGTCTGCCGAGGGACCCAAATCTGTGGCGCCCGAAGCGGGACAATTATTGGGCTGACGATAAACGGGGCAGTAACACTTCATCGCCTCACTCCTTTGGCCATTGTCGAATGTGTTGGGCGTCACCTCGTACTTCCAGCCCTTGATGCCCTCAATCTCGTAGCTCTCGCCCGTATACTCCAAGTTGATAATGCGACGTGTGTCCGCTATGAATATGGTCAATGCCTTCTCCCTGGGCTCATCGGGCACAAAGAGATCGGTGGTGCTGCCATTGAGTCGACCACACTCGCCCTCATACCAGCCAGTGTGATTTGCACCATTCCAGAATTTAATTTCACCCATTTCCTTAATATCGCCGACGCCCGTGTGCACTGTAAAGGATCCCTCAAACTCCTTAGACCCATTGCGATCGAGGAACCAGGCAAAGTGATCCGACTCAACCTCCGGCGCGAGTGGATTGTTCATTGCATAATGCAGAAACTCATCGTAGAAACTGTCAAAGAGCCACTCGCTAGCCGTGTGTGTCACATAGAGGGCACCACCATGCGCGTTTAGTTCTCGGTTGAAAGCAGCTTTCACCAAAGCATTTTTATCTCGCATTTCCGCAGCTGCCGCCTGAGAGGTGAAAAGTTGAGTTATCATATTGAATTAAGGCGTCAGTCCACGAATGAGGGTTTCTATGTGGTAGATGTGATACATTATTGCTTGAGCAAGTTTATATTTTGCGATACATACATTATATGGATTATAAACTATATACTATAACATAACTGTTATGCACGAAGTGCTGTTTGCAGAAAGAATTTTAGTAAATTTGCATAACAAATTCAAATATTGTAGTTAACCCTTTATATATAAAAAGTGAACAATTCGGAGGAATGATCTTAACATGGCAATAAAGATAATAATTTGTGTATGTAATAATACTCACAATCGATGGTAGATGAGGTACGGTCACAAGGTCCGTTTGTTTTCCACCGGAGAGTTCTTCCTCCCAGAACCAGGTGCGATTTGGACTGAAGGTTACCGTCTTATTTTCATGCCACTCCAGATCCATTTTCAGTCGCTCCTCTCTGTAGACATATGGTCCCAATTGCTGAAAGTTGGGCTTAACACCATGCAGTTTTACCTCTTCTGCATTGGTCCAATTCCAAAGATACATTTTCATATAGACGGGTATTGGCAGCGTTTCCCATTTATCGAATGTTTTCGATGTGGGCGTCAGCGGCAATGACTACAATTGAAAACAACTGTAATAATGAAAATGGAAAAATGCTCATTGCGTTCAACTACTGACATTCATGATGATACTATCTATGAGACTGGGCCACCATATTATGAATAGTAATCCGAAAACTGTGAATAGCGTACCAAGACCGAAAACCCAAACCTTTTGCTGGGTCACTCCACAGCAGCGACAGCACATTTTGAAGTGAGTATATGCCTCGAACCCTTCGGGTTGGTAACTAACCAACTAAAGCATAATCGCAGTGGTTTTAATCGTTTCATTTGCGATAATCGTGCCTTAATCTATTTTCTTTTGTTTATTTTTTATTTCGCCTTATGTGATTATTCATTATTAATTGTTCTTTAACTTTATGAGTGCCTTTGGCTTTAATGCAATGTACTGAAATAAAGTCAAGTATGTCGAAAGGGTATCAGACTTTAGTTTGCTATCAGTCTCGTGATAATGGCGCATTTGTAACTGGCTTAGTAAGACTCTGAATATTTGAAGGGTGTATAAGAATAGCAGTGGCAAAATATGCAAGAAATAAGAAATCAAAACATACTTTTAGGCAATTACTATAGACAATGATTTTTTCTGTTGGCGAACCAATTCATTCAAAGTTCATAAAACAGATTACTTAATCTAATCGAACACTTTCAGTTCAGTTGATAAGTGTCTTATACTGCTGCAAGTCATGTTGACTGTAATTGAACTAATAAGATTTATATCAGTGCTCTCGGCTATTTAAATAAAACAGCTCAACATTTCTCTCCACATTATCATGGTTGCTGTCAATCTGTCAATTTTCAATTTCAAGTAAATGTGGGTAGGCAGAACGAGGTAGTTCATCAAATGCTTTGTGTGCTGAGGTATGCATTAATTGGACCAGACATTAATTGAAATACAAGAAGCCAGAAAAGTAATCTTTGAGATTAGCTTTTATCATATTGATTTTATCAGGCTGATTCATTATATGTCGAATGTAATAAGCTATGTGGCAAATAATTCCTTATTCAGCATTCAGTTGCAGCAATTCACTTGAATAAATTCATAATCTTGGCCATAATGTTTGCCAGACCATCTCGTTGCAACCGTTAATGCATCTGTGGCAGACTTATGTATAATGCAGTCTATTTGAGTGTGTGTGGTTAGGATATTACTACATAAATGTATCTTATTCAAATTAGCTTGCAAGTCTTTCATGCAAATGTTCCAATTGAGAGACTAAGAATATATCATTAAAACGTTCCAAGCCGAATTCCATTCTTGGTTGAGAATTTGTATTATATCAAAGATAAATATTTATACTTTGTATATATATATATAATTATATAATGGTATATTTATAATTATAGCGTTTTTTAATACACATACACACATAAATTGCAAATAGAGTTGTTAGTTGTTGGAAAATACGACGACTGCAGTTCAGAACATTTCAGCAACATCAGCTTTACAATTGTTTGTTAACATCAAATAACACTTGGATTAAACGTTTCTTCTATAAATATGCACTTTGTATTCTGTTGTAGTTGAGGTAGCTGCATGTTTAGGCCTCAATTGAGCCCTCGGCTGCCAACTGAGCCTTGCGGCTGGGCTGTAACAAAAACACACAAAAATAATTCAAAAGTAAGTACGATTTTTGTTTCGAATCTTTCGATTAAATGTTGAATAGCCACCTTGGGATGCATGAGTATGAAGGGCAGCTCAGCGCACAGCTCGCCGCCCAGAGCGCCCAGGAAGAGCTTCACCTTGACCGCATAGGATACAATAATGCCAAAGGCATCGCGAGCATCCTGACTGGCAATGCTGTAGGAAATTCAAAGATTTATGTTGGTACTCCGAGTTTTTTTGGATTTAATACTTACAGCGTGGTGGAGGCCAGTGCGGTATCCTTGCGCTTGATGTCACCCTCAACGGCAATGCCGGCGCGATCACAGTTGGCCACCAGTGTGGGCACCAGATACATAACCTTCTGCAGACTGGAGCCGGGATTGAGGGGGCAACCCTCGCTGGTCTCCATGAACGCAATCGTATTGCGGAATTGTCCATTCTGGAAGAGCACCACATCGACGCCCTGCTGCACCATGGCCTTAATCTTCTTCACCACCTTGTTGGAATTGTTACGCACACAAATGTTAACCGATATCTTCTCGCCATGATGGTACAGTTGCTTGTCCAGAGTCACCTCCAACTCGAGTTCCCCGGGCGACAAAAGGAAGTCCTTGCGCACCACCGTGCATGGTTGCATACCATCCTTGGTGGGTGCATATTGCACCTTGCGTATGCCCAGATTGATGGTGCTGCGACGATGCGAGCGATCGCAATCGTTGTCGCCCGTAAAGATCTTCACAAAGTACTGGACGCCACATGGTTGGCTCTCATCGCTGGCCTTCTGCTGCAGCACCACCGATGCTGGTGAGCTGTTTGGCATTTGCATGACAAAGGGGAATGCATTGGAGCCCAATTTCTTGAGCAGACGCTCCTGCATCTTGGACAGCTCGATATCCTTCTTCTGTGGCGGGCACACCTGCTGCGACACCAGTGTCAGTTCCTTCTGAAAACGTAAGCCGATCATCTCATCATCCTCGCGTCCATAGCGAAAGTTGCAGACGAGCTGCACAAAGATCTTGCGATTCGTACGCACATACTCATCGTCCAGGACGATGATGCCATCTGCAAAATTAATTGGACACCAGTCCAAATATCGCTATAATCATTGTCACCGACAGACAAACATATACGTGTCTCGTCCATTTGCCACTGTCGGTCAATTAACACGTAACTAATAAGCGGCTTTGTGGCCGATGTAACTGCTGCCCATTGGCCATTGCATAAATTAAGCCATAATTTAATTAAAGACCTTGCTTATCAACTGATTAAGTCGGTTTCGCCACAAACAGACTTAATATAATCTTGGAGGCAAGTAGACTAGCTGTTGCTTCTGTCTGTCCTAAATGGTTTTCTAATATTGCACGAATGGAGTCAGCAAATTCCAGCGCTTATAATTTTGTACTTGTACACTGAACTTAAGTGATGATTTACAAATTTTAATATTGTTATTCCTGATATTTTGAGGTACTAACTTCTATTTGATTTACTAACGCATGCCTATAAATATTTATAAAGTATTTTTATTCAGTGTTCGTCAAGCAAAGTTATTGATTTGCAGAGCAAGAAACTCAGTCAGTCAGTTAAAGTTATCATTATTTTTTTTAATCCATTATCCACTCTGAAGATCTCAGCTATCACCTACCAATTGGCTCCACTTGCGTCACCGAATCCACAAATTCACGCCTATTCATATAGAGCGTGATCATATTGTTCGGTGAACATTTTTTAAACACCTTAAAGTTGACAACCATTTTGATGCAGTTGAGTTTCTCGTTCGATATCCAAACTCGCGCTCCCCGGCCTTGAATGATGTTAGTAGTTGGTTTGTTGTTCAATTTCGAACTACGCCGCGTTGCGTTGTTCGCGTCGTTTTCAATTAGCGGCCAACGTCAGTCCGTCATTTATACCTGGCATTCGTAGCCCGGCAGCAAATTCAATTAGCTCGCGTAACTGCACCTTTCTAGAATTCAAACCATTCTCTGTTGCAAATTTACTAAGGCTTCCTTCCTCGCTGACTTGTTCGCTTTGTCTTTGATATTGACATTGCTGCAAGTACAAAACGAACAAAAATCGATGGCTTGCCATTAAATAATACGCACAGAAAATGCATAAATAGCCAACTTAACTAAATCAATAATGTGTGCGTGCAATTGTGTTTTCTTACCTTTCCTTTCGGTATTTATTTTGTTTGTTTTTTGTTTTGCATTTTGAATGACGCACGCAAATATTATTACGTACTAAGCGTGGCATGTGTCGTAATTCTTACTAATTAAATTGTTAACAAGTGGCAAAAGTTATAAATACATTCTAAAAGCACAAAGAGTGCTTTCTAAGTTACTCAAAAAGTCCATTTATACTTTAAAGAACTGTTGAAAATAATACTTTAGTTATCAATCATTAAGATATGTTGTCCGTGATTGATATAGATTAGTGAGTATTTAATCTGAGATCTTTCTTTACTTTTTCTTCTATCAAAAAATAGAATAGTAAATAAGTAAATAAGCATTTTAAAAACTTAGCGTAATTGCACATAAAATGCTGACCATTTAAATTGTACTTTATTACAATTACTTCATAATTCAGGAGCATTAGAAAAGTTACGGACATATTTTGTTTTGCCATGTTATGAAAATGATTTCCACTGCATTCAATTATGTATGCAAAATTATGACAGCCTAAGTCTCTCACACCCCGTACTTGTGCGTTAGTAAATCACATTAGCATAAAGTTGGCTACTTAGTAAAGTCAATGAACGTAATTATTATGCTCCATACTCACATTAAAAATATGAGCAAAGTTGTCTGCAATATATTGTGCCTTATTGTGTTATCGTTGTTGAATGTGTGTTTGTATGTGTAAGTATGTGTGTGTGTGTGTGTGTCTGAGGGCACGTAAAATTAACATGTATGGAATGGTAGGAGTGGCAGTCGCCAGGGTCCAACAAAACCGACAATGAGTCTCTTAATAATAGCAAAAGTTTTGCACTTACATTTTGTGGGTTGTTGTGTTAGTCGATGGGCGTGACCATTGGCACGCCCACCGCCTACGCCCCTTTAAATGCCTTAGTGGGCATATAATTTAAACAAAGTATGGCGTAGATATTATCATGTTCCAAGCTGATGCAATATGCTAAGAATTGCGTAAATATATGCATGAATAAAGGCCAAGTGCTTGATTTATAAGTACTTTGCACACATTACTAAAATCTACACTCTGAAAATGGGTCATGGGGCTAAGAAAACGGACGTACAAATAAGAAATAAACATCCTGGATTCTCTAAATATGTGTGTAGAGGCAAACCTCTGAGGAGGAACGAAATATTCTACTAATTTCATTAAAGTTTGTTTTCTATTTCTTGGAAATATATTTGTTTATGCAACAAAGATTGTACTTTAAGAGACTCATTGTTGTTCAGCGTGTATAACACTCTAAAGACTCCCAATGGTGTTGTGCTGAGGATTTTGAGAGCACACTCAAAATCAATCAAGTTTAAGAGGCAAGCGCCCACAGACCGCAGCCAAGTGCTTTTAGCCTTCACACAAGTTTAGCTTCTTAGTTGTGTTGTACTTGCAACTTAACACATGCATGAACACTCATTCTTGTGCAAGTATATTGTATATGATGCAACTTCACGCACTGCAAGCTTAAGCCACATTGGCGTCGACGCCAACCACAAAGCGCCACGAACAACAATGCCAACTTCAATTATTTGCGCGCAATTGTGCAGGAGCTGCCTCTCAGTGTCTTTGCCTCAAAACTCACCCTCATGCCTCATCCTTCGCAGTCCTTTGTGCAACTCTTCAACTGCAAATTCTTGCAGCTATTGTTCTTCTGTATTTATTTGGGACTCTTAAGAATTAGAGAGCTAAAGCTTGCCTGAAAATTAAATCAAAATTTTCATCGAAAATGCATATTTTGCATGGGTTTTTGGCCGATAAGGAATCGCCGTAGAAGAAGCTGTTCCCAATCACATTCAAGCTTCAGCTCAGTTTATACATTTTACTATAAGCTTTAAATACATTGATCTGAATGGTTTAAGAGCGAAACTGTGCTGCACCTGCAGTAGATTAAAACCACCCAAATAGCCTTGCTGTGGGGCAAAGCTGCTAATTTACGCAATTCAATTGAATAGCCTGTTGCAAGACAAAAGCCAAAATGCCAAATTGTATTGGTGCAATCAGTGAGATTGCCACTGTATCGGCTCAGGTTGCAGCAAGTGCAATTGTCGTTGGCCCAATTGGCTGGCGAACAACTGCAATGATAGCCAGAGTCAAAGCCAAATTTGGAGCCAAAGCCAAATACAAAGTGTTCAGGATACATAAACAAAGGCGGCTTTAGGCCCGAAATGGTGGCAATGTTTAAAGCCTGAGCTGATGTGCCAACACGTGCGCGCAAGTAGCTATAAATTTATGGGCCAGTTGGCCAAATTGAACATCAACATCAACATTGTCAATAGTATTACGATTATCATGGCCAACAGCACGTAAAATTGCAGTGAAATACCAACAACAACAAATGCTTGTCTTATTGAAGGCGAAAGGCAAACAAAAATTGGCAACATTGGCGCCAACGCAAATGTCAACAGCAAAACCAACAACACCAACTACTAGAACACGTCAAAGTGCTCTGGTGTAGTGTATTCGACTACGAAATACCCTAACATACATTCGTACAAAGAAAAAAGTCAAGGAAGAGAAATTGTTCAGCTAATCAAAACGAGAAAACCACATTTGAATTTTAGATCTCAAACTTTGAATTTGCCTTTTATCTAGTTGGCTCTTGATGACATATTTCTAAATTAGATATTTCAGATATTTTCTTTTATTCCCAGATACCCATATATAATGTATATAGGGTATGGCAAGAACAACATTTTGGGGCAAGCAACACCAACAAACGGCAATCAACGTTGTCGCAGTCGCTTCCATTTCCAGTTACCATTAGTCGAAGGAAGCTGAGCCAGAGTCAAGAAAAAAAAGCACAGAAATGCTCAAGTACTGCATGAGCGAACTTGGCAAGGACGGGGACGAGGACGAGGACGACAAAGTGGACGAGGACGTGGACGCGAACGACGACGTCATCGTCGGGGCTGACGATGTGCAAACTGGCGAAGTGACAGCAAATGGCGCGGAAACTGTGTGCGCCAACGTCAACTAATCGTGGGTGAACAAATCTCTCTATATATCTAACACACACATACACCGATACACACACACACACACACACATAATACATACATAAACACACATAGACACTGACAGCATTTAAAGCTGTGTTTTTACACCAGCCTCCGCAGCGGGCAGGTGTTTAGTGTTATGGGCCATGGCCACGGAATTTCTTGTTGTTGTTGTTGAGCCAACAGCCACGCCCTAAAGGCGTCACGGTCATGCAATAATTGCTTTGATATTTGCATTGATGCGTTCATCGTCAACTGCTCTTGGCTGCTTGACTGTTGACTGCTGCCGCTGACTTGACTCCATCTCTCCCCTCTCCAAATAGACAAATAAATTTCAATTGCATTGCCAGCCAGCCAGCTGAAAGCGCAGAACCAGGCATATTTATTTGTTGGGTAACTTTAATTCGATTAACTTTAACTTTCACAAAATGTGGTTAGTTGTTAATGTTAATTGTTTCGTTGCAAACACTTTGTGCTCTAAGATAACGAATCTTTGAACTACACACGCTCCACATATCGAAATCTGTATTATATAATATATAATATAAATATATTAAATGAAATATTCAGACATTTAGCCTTTTCTTTGTTTTTAATACACTTTTTTCTTAAAAAGAAAAACACAAACAATATTTTTAGATAATGCTCTTATTTTTCATGTTTTACTGTTCATCGCGATACGATCAGGAAATCTTAGTTTATACCTTACTTATTGTGCACTGATTTATTAACAATTTATCTTAATGTATGTATTTCCCAGCTGGCTATTTATAATATGCTGTATGTGGCTGTAGAGTCCAGTCACAAGCTCCTCGTTCACACACACTTGATACATTTTTGCTTGCACTCTGCATAAATTCAGCTAGAAAGGAACGGAAATATTGTGTGCACAAAGCCAAAAAGACCAGTTTCGTTACAGAGTATGTGCAACAATTTTGGGAAGAGGATACCACAAAGCTGTTGTTGTTGTTGTGAGCACAGTTTTGTCGCTGCATCCCAGAAATAACGTTAGTGCTAGCTAATTTCCCATGTGCATGCTTGCTTGTTAAATTGATCTATAGTCAGGACAGTCAGGCGTGGCACTCAATCGAGCGAAGGGTCGGGGCAGCAAAGTCTGGCAAAAGCTGCAAGCCCATGTTGCACGATGCCGAGCCATAACGCAAAATATTGTCAAAATACCTGATGCACAACAATAGATGCAACTTGTGCTGGCCCAACAACAGCAACAGCAACAACCCGCATAACCTACCCCAATCCCTGCCGCACCTGTTCATGTATTTGTGGTGGCTTTTTCGACACAATTTTGCAGATGACATGTTCAATACACAAAGTTGCGTGCTTAAACTCGTCCGTCCCCATTGTTATATACACAGTCACATATATGCATGAATATATATGTATATATATATAGATATACATAGAGAGATAGATAGACCACGGAGTCCTTACTTTATTTGACTGTCAGCACGTGTTCAGGTCTGCCTTCCGCTTGACTAGCTCTGTCTGTATATTTTTGTACCTGATTCTATGGCAGCAATTGCCGTTACAACAAGTGAATGAGGCTTTTGTTGGCGACGTTGTCTGGTTACATTTATCATACACTAAACCCCAACTGGCTAACCTTGACCTTATTACACTGCGATGTGTTGTTGTTTGATATTTACTTTTTGACTTCAAAGCTCTACTGGAAAAACGAATGTAAAAATTGAATAGCTTTAAATAAGTTGTTATATTTCCATTCAATAAACATATTTAAATATTCCAATTGAATAGAAAATTATATATAAATCTGATTAAGCAAGCCTATTGCTAAACACAAATGTTAAATTCAAGAAAATACTATTGTAGTATTTAAACACATTGTTGTAAGCATTTTTCGTCAATGTACCTTTAATACACATTATTTTTGGATAGCTATGACTTTAAGTACTTGCTTACCTCGCTTTCTAAATTTGCATTTTAACCGCAGAGGGACTGTGTCTGCTCCTGCTCCACTGCTGCCTTCACTTCCGAAATTTTGAAATAAACGGAAGGCATATTTTTATTTATGTTGTTTTTTTGCTTTTTTTTTTTTTTGCTTGGTGACATTATCCTATTAACACATTTAATGGAGTCACACACGCGCGCGACTTTGTCTCATCATAAATCTGATGGCAGCCGCAGCGGGAAATGCGGAAAATACGGAAAATGTTGCTGCTGTTGGGCTGCGGGCTGTGGGCTGTCTGTGCCGGGGCGTTAAACAGACGCAGGAAATGTGGGCATGGTCTGTCTTCTGTCTGCGTGATATATATGGGCTCATATTAGATATTTATGCCTGTGAGTTTGCTTTCGCCTTACCTAGATTTATGCATTGTCTTTGGCATTGTGATAACGACCGAATTGTTAAAAGTTCCTGCAAAACTTTTCCAACGCCTGCCATCAAATTAGTCTGGCGCCTAAGTAATAAACTTGATGTACGTGTCGATCTTATCGCCCAAATGACGTTGACCGAAAATGATTGAAACTTTTTCGGTTTCGGTCGCTGTCAAAATTGTTTTGTTTGGCAAAAATCGAAAAACCGAAAAACCAAAACCGCCGCTAAAACTTCAGCTTCACCCACAAATATTTATGCATTTTGAAAAGTTTCTAAATACACCCCAGGGTACGTTTTAGGTGAGAAAGATTTGGCGTCGGCCAAATTATATATTGCTGCCAATTTAGCTGGCCAAATATGCGGCTCATTTGACCAACAGCACATTTCGGGTAGGCTGTTAACTGCCCCAACAGTTTGTCAGCTTCGAGGCGAGAAATTTGAAGCAACTTTTTGAGTATACTTTGGAAATCCATTAAATTTTAACTTAAACAATGCAGCTACTTTAAACACTACTTAGTTTGTTCAACGTGGCAATAGAGAGAAGCTGCATGTGTAGCTAGGTGTATCTTACTTCTTCCTTCTACCTTTCCAATATAGATATGTACCTTGTGTAAAATATATAAGTTACTAGCTTTTATACCTTTGATTTTATTCACACTCGTCTGTTTTAACATTTACACTTTGAGCAGACGCGCCTTGGGGCAGCTGTCAATGTGCAGAGGACAGCAAAATTTGTGCCACAGAAGAGATTTGTATATGCTGCAGCTCCTAAATGTTACAATGTTTGCCAAAATGCCACAAGTGTCGGCGTCGAAATGAAATCTTTCTCGAACTATTCACTTTTATTCTATGTTTTCTTTTTTTTCTTGTTCAAATTTTTGTTTTGTATTTCATGTTTTTGTAAGCTGTTGAGGCAAATGCTGACAAGCATTGTATTTTCTCATTTTTGCTTTCTTTTACATGTTGTTTCTGTGGGCAACATTTGAACATGCTTTGTAAAGCAATTAGTGCTGACAAATGCCAGTCCTGACATTAAGGACCCGAAACTGTAAATGTAACTGGAAACAGTAGCTGTTACTTTAACTGTAGCTGCAAGTGTAGACATTGTCTGTCATGCTGTCTGGCGTGTCAAAAGCGATTTGTCATGCAGCAATATGTAAGGGTTAATAGTCCACTGACAGCCTGATTGATTGCCTCGGCTGAGTGTTACAAGCAAAGCTTTTATTATTTTTAGCAAAGCCCCGCCAGTTACTGTCAACCATTTCTCTGAAATGCTTACTTTGCATATATGCTGATTAATCAATCGCTTGTTTAAAAAGTAGATGTGATTTGGCTGAAATATGAGATGCTCGCATTTAGTATGGGGTCATTTTCGGAGGGCTAATGCAATGACTAAGTGACTTGGCAAGTTACCTACCATGGTGAATGTCTCTCTATTGAGATATTACATAAGGATACCCAAGTTAAGTTGGTAAGCAAGTAAACACTTGGTTTACAAACAATGTTTATTTAAGGAAACCTAAACTTTAACTACTTATTCTATCTAGGCAAACAGTTATTTTTGTACAGTTACATTTAATTAATAAATATTAATTTGCACATTATAATTTAATAATATAAGTTAATCAAATACATAATGCATCACTTTTCAATTAACTATAGAAAAGCTCGAAAAATATATATAATTAATGCAGCATACTTTTAGGCATGTGAGTTGGGATTGTACAGCTAGTAAAACTGATTTAAGAAATAGCTCTAACTCTGCCAAATACTTACAGATTATCTCTGCCAAATACTTTCCACTCGCAAGCATCAATTCCAATTACATTTAAGGATAATGGTGTCGTCTAAGAACCCAAATCAAATGAAATTGGATAAGTCTTATTTTCTGTGAAAATCGCTTTAGATTTTGATATCCTTTGAAAATATCTAAAGCCAAACGAGTAAAGTATAAATTGTCTACTAAATAAGATTTCACTAATAAACATTTTTCCAAGCACATCTCAAGTTATATTTTTATCTTGTTATTTTATATTTTCGCATCATGGCCAATTAAATAAAATCTTACCTGAAAATCCTGTGTACTAGCCTAACCGACCAGAAAGCCAATGCATTTCATTAAATTGAAAATTGTGTGCTCCCAAAGTGGATGCAGGCCATAAAAACAGGCTGGCGGACATGTTGCCGGTTGGGGGAGGGGTGTTGGCCTGGCGTATACTTGAGTAAGCTGACTGATTAAATATACACATCGAACCACAACTGTTGCACCGAAAACTAATAAAAACTCAGGGGCAGCGTGGCAGGCAGCAGACAAGCTCGAGTGGATTTTATATTCTTCACAGGCTTGAACAAAGCAAAGGTGCAGCTGCTGGCAGACTGGCAACTGGCAACTGGCAAACTGACAGCAGATGCTGCCGGAGGCACTCTGCCTTCGAGTTGCCAGTCAATTGATGGCAACAGATGGGAAACAAGTTGGCATCGTCTTCATCAATTGCCAGTAAGTGGCTGTAGTAAAAATGTTTACGTTTCTGCATAAAATTCGAACTTAAAATACCAGTTCCTGGCACACGCGACGTATGCGCAACATATTTAAACGTAAAACGTAAATGGATTAAGACAGCACTACATTCTCAACTGCTGTTGAAACGATCTCTGTGTTTGGCTTTTTAATTTGGTTGCACAGCTATTTGCCAAAGAGCACTTGTTAATCAATGGCGAACCTCGACCAGTATCCAGTGCTGCCACTTTGATGAGCAATCTCAAGCGACGTGAATGGACAAGCTCCATTTGCATGTGCTGTCTTGAGTGACAACTCTCGATGCTCCACACCAATTTCGAATGCATTTGCAGCGCAGCAGCACAAAACACAGGGCGACTTCTTCTTCTATATTCATGCATAAATTCAACTCTTTTTCAGCCACTCAAGTGCAAGAGCTCCAAAGCTGCCAGTTTTTTTTAACAAGCCAAATGGAGAAAATAAAGTTGTGAAGAGTTGTTTGTGACTTACAGAAAATCAAATACCCTTTAACGTGAATATAAAGGAGATAAGATAAGAAGTAAGCTCAGATGAACTTATGATATCGACTCAGCTACTTGTTCTGAGCAAAAGCACTTAAGATTCTCGTATGCACAACATATTTCGTAGCAAAATACAAACACCCCCAGCAAAGGGTTAAGAAAACAGAAGAAAGCTTATCAGTAAGATTCATGACTGACATAGACAAATGGATGTTGCCTAGGACCTCCTGCAGTCGGCAAGTTTTAAGAGCATAATTTTCTATACCCTAACGAACGAGGAGACAATCAATGAATCTTCCTAGTGCACTTTGCTAGTAAATCAAAGCCAAATATGGAAAAAGTAGCCGCAGCGACTTTGCCAGCTTGTTCACAACGCAATCAGCAACAATAGGAAATCCAAATTCGAATTCGCAGGGCAGCCGCACGACGGAAGTGTGCCGCAAAACGGAAACGGAAGCAATTTTCATTTGCGTTGAGTTAAAATGGTGGCTCTTGTGGTAGCACACTTGGGGACAAGCCAGCGGGATGGGCAAACAGCAGCAGCTTCTGCACATGTGGCCCCACATGTTACAAGAATAATTCTAGTTTTCACACACACACTCACACTCACACAATGACACATAATGGGCGGCAAGTGTGGCCAAGTGGCGATGCGCCCCAAGTAACCACAAAACGTTGCAAGTGCCGCATTTTTATTTAATAAATTGCATCGCTGATTCGCATTGTCCCCTTCGTTTAGCTGCTTCGCTTTGGTTTTGGTATTTCATATTAATTTTATTTGATTTTTGTCAACGATTTTGGTTTGGCATTTTTTGCTTTGCGGTAAGTGCGATACGTAGCTGTTAAAGTTGAAATAAATTAAATTTTTTTAAAATTTATTATGTTTTTTATTTTTATTAATTTTACTTTCCATAAACTGTCACAATGTATTACGGTTTTAGCGCTTTCATTGTAGAACATAAAAACAATTGTAGTTGTTATAAAAAATGAAATAAAATGCTCTTAAATTTACAGAAGCTTTTGTTCTTCTTTTTATTGGAAATTGAATAAAAATAAATCGTTTGGGTTAAATGGTTGGGTTTCAGTTGTGAACATTTAAATGATTGGAGTTATTTTCATTTGTATGCTAATAAACATATTCTAATGTATATTTTTTTTTGTATTTCTTATAATTTAGTGATTTTATTTTGTATATGTGTTTAAAATCTATGCAACTAGCTAAGTGCTAATTTTTACGTACTTACTTATAATCGAAAACTTATGAAAATGTATAATTTAGTGGTTAGCCTAAACAAAACAGCGGCTGCTCAATTTTGAATCGCATTTGCCAAATGTACAGTTTTCAATTAATTTCATAATCATTAATCATTTCAGTTTCTTCGCATTGCTCTTATTAAGAATTCCATTCAACTTCTTGGTTTTATTTACAAAATTTACTTTGATCACATTTAAAATGTGTGTCATTTTTTGCTTACGAACTAGCTGCCTACTTGTTTTTATTTTCTTTTAATTAATTGTGTATTCAGTGATGTCCACAATTTTGTATACACACAGATGCAGAGTTATATAAAAAAAGTGTTTTATAAATAAAACTACGATATAAATGAAACGCTCGTAATACACTGCGTATGAGCAATATTTATCATTAACAGCAAAATGGCAGTACACATGGGTATGTATGGAAAATGCTCAAAGATCGAAATGCGTATTGTGTGTGCTTACATTCTCCTTCCCCCACGCTTCCCCAGTTTAAACAGCTTCAAAAGCAAATGTCTTCATTTACTCGAACTTTTTTTTAAGTTTATTTTTGAAGACATTCTCAAAGCTCTGGCGTTTTGAAGGGGGGAATGCGCAACAATGATAAATGAACTTAATTACTAGAACTCAAATCCCAATTACTTCACATCACTTTGACCCCAATGAAAACAAACCAAAAAAACAAAAAAACGCTCATTAATTATACGCCACGTTTGCCGAAGAGCTATTGCTCAGGTCCTGTGGGAAACTCTCCTGTGGCTTACGTCGCTGTCGTGCCGAATGTTTGCTTGGCAAACTTACCCACTGATGCTGCGGTTGAGGCGGCTCCTGCTGCTGGTGGTGCTAAGCTCCTGGGTCAGTTAACGCTGACCAGTGGCTCCAGCGTACTGCTCAAATGCACCAACTGCTGCTGCACCTCGCGCAGACTGGCCAAACTACCCATCTGCTGCTGCTGCTGCGTCGCCGATGGTTGTGCCGGTGGTGGCAGCACCACAACCACAGCCTCAGCGGCACCCGATACCATTGGCAACATGGGCGATGGGGCACCAGTTGGAATTACCGTTGCGGCCGCTGATGCCGCTGCCAGCGCCGTTGCACAATTGCTCATGCTGTTGTTGGGCGAATGCGATGCACTGTACATTAGGCGACCCATGCTGGGATGTGGATGCACTTGGGCAACGGCCGGTGGCGGCGGCGCCGGTGGCAGCACTAGTTCATCAATGGTGCAAACACGATCATCAATGGGAAATGTAAAGTTGATTTCCTTGCCGCCACCACTTGCGGCATGCGATGGCGTGCTGCCATTTGCTGTACTCTGAATATGACCATTTGTTGTGCTTGTGTTGGTTGCCAGTGTTGCCATTGTTGTTGCTGTTGGGGTTGTTGCTGTTGCCGCGGTTGCTTCTGCTGGCGATGTGGCGAGTGTCAAAGTGGTTGTTGTTGTCGGTGAGCTGCCATTGCCCAGTGTCGTTATTGTGGTCGCTTCCAAATTCTTTTCCAAACATTTGCTCTCGCCTGCGGAGGAAAACAACATCAAGAGAGATGAGCATGCGAGCACAGTGGTGTGCAAAACTAAAATATGCAACAATATAATAAAATATGTACTGTAAACTTTCAATTAGTCATTTTAAAATTGAACTGACAACTTTTTGCTTGCAGAATTGCTCAAACTGTAACATTTCTTTCCAACGAAATTTGCATTTATTTTAATCCGTCCGTTGCTTTGGGTACAGCTGCCTCTGCATTTCAATTCAATTTCTCGAGCAAATTCCAATTGAAGAAAACATTTTGTGACTCTTTGAAGTTATTTACCAAATGTTATTTGCTTCTTAAAATATGGAATTTTCCAAGAAGCTGCCTTTAGCTTTTGCACATAAGATACTTCAGTGATTATTTTGCTGGCTTCTCAAAGTTTTAATTTTAATATTTTCTTTTTCATAAATTTGCTGCTCTGAATATTTGTGTTTTCATTGTCATTTGTTTTTACTTGTTTGATGCTCGACTGTATTTTCGTCTGCTTCAGTTTATTTATTATTCGTTATGCTTATTTTATATACGCTTGTAGCATTGTCGACTTTTTTAATTCCGTCTGTGCTTTCATATACATTTTTTTGCACGGATATTGAATTTCTTTCGAAGCTGTTCGATGGTATTTCATATTTTTCACAGGATGTTAGGTGGACCATTTCTCATTTGCTAGGCATAGTTATCTTCAATCTATTGGGCACCACTGCAATCGTTGCAGAACTGCCTGCAATTGTCAATACTCGCATCACGTGTCCTGGATGGCTGCAGGTATGTTTGCAGGTTGCCCAACTCTTGCGGCAATCGTCGCTTGAATTTTTGAGTGTGGAACAATTTTTTATTTCCACATTGTTTTTTACGGTATGTTCGCTGGAACGTTCGCTTATCGAGGGAATCGAATGCGGTGTGGCAAAACTTTCTGTTGCCGCAGACTTGGCGACCATTTTTTATTGCTTGCAAAAAAAAAAACACACACAAAAAACACAAAAAACAACGAAAAACTGCTACAATTGCGCAAAATTCCGAAGTTTGCGTTTGTTTTCCGTTGGAGCTGCGTTTCCCTCGAGTGCGTTCTGCTGAATGGCACTACCACCGTTGGCCCCGGGGCCAATTTGTGCTAAGGTAACCAAGTTAGGCTAGGGCAGGTGTGTACACAAACATTAGCGATGGCCTCCAATGTACTACATCGCAGGTCAGCTTGAAATTTATTTATTCCTCATTTAGGCAAGAGAGACGCAGGCAGCGCTAGGGAGCGGAGTGCAAAGGCTACTCGACATAATGAAGCACGTACTTGTAATTAATTAAGTGTGGCCGCTGCTTTCTTTTTAATTTCGACAAAAATTTTACGTGCTAGTCAAAAGAAAAATAATGTTAAAATACAAATAATAAAAAAACATTCAGAAAAAATCGTGAAGCAGGCCCATAAATATCACTCGGTCTTAGCCAGGTAACGAACGCAAAGACAGTTTTTCATTTCGACACCTTCCGCAAACTTGGCAACTTGCCCAAGAGAATAACGCTTTACACTCATGCGTCAGGCTTCAATTTGTGTTAGTTATCCTTTTCCTGCAATTTATACTCACTGCCATTCAGATGATCCTCTCTGGTGTAGTAGCGTGCTCGATTCTTGGAGAAACAGGCCACCAGTGATAGGATTATGACGGCAAGCAGCACAAAGATGATGCCACCCAAAATAGCCAAAGTATTAAGACCGCCTGTAAAAAAGAATAAAAAGGAATGTAATATAAAAATACGCACTAAATGAATTTTCAATTATAGCTGCCATTGAAAAGATGCATTAAAAATGCTTACCATGTTCGAGAAAGTTATATGAAGTGCTTGCCGCATTCTGTTCCTCGTCGCTGATGTAATCGAGGCACGTGTGCAGCCCGCCAATGTCCAAATTAATTATTTCAGCGCCACGCAAATTTTTTGGCAAAAAGCAAATTGGATACGTATCCCATTTCCACTGCAGCTGCACAAATGAAAAGCAAAGTAAACAAAGAAATAAATTAAGCTCTGCATTGCGCAAAAGGTTGTCTATTTTATAATTTGATTTAAGCAATCATCAGTCAGGTTCAGTTAAAAAATTGAATTGAATTTGGACTCACTTGTCGCACGACATTTATTAATTTTCCCATATGGCATTCATCGCATATCAACGGATTATTGTCCAGCCTCACATTGCGTATACCCTGAATTCGTAGCGCCGTATCCGCATTGATGCCATATAATTGATTTCGTGATAGGTCTAAAAACTGTAGAAACCAAAAAGAAAAACATTGTTAAATGCTGAAAAAGTGTGTAATTATTTGGTGCATGGGATTTGCCTATCAAATGGCAATTAGCCACAAATGGCGCCAAAACATCGGTTACATTGTTTAATTGTTGTCCAGCCACAAACAATAAACCAAAGAGTAACCAGAGCAACCAGAGCAACCAGAGCAAAACCAAAGAGCTCGAGTGAAGTGTGCGACGATGAGTGCTACTATACACAATTAAATTCAATTAAAATGAAAAGCTTAATGGCATCAACTGATTGTTGCTTTTGTAAGTGTTGTGTCATAAATTTGCCACAGTCAACATGACAACAATAACGACAAATAATGTAGGTAGGACTGCTGCGAGTAGCAATTTGATATGTTCGACTTGAAAGTACCCTGTTAGTGGTACAAGGGATGTGAATAACTAAAATCCTTAGCTGATATTGTTCTGTAAAATGGATTAGCTTAAAGTTGTATTCTGTAAAATATAAAATAGAATCATCTCTTAGTCCTTCAGATGTACCCTGGAACATCTGCCCTTGAGTAAGACACACTTTACTCAATTTCATCATACACCTTGTTCACAATTGTATGAGTATGTGGAATAGCAATGACAATGCAACTGTGAAAACAATACACAAAGACAACGAACGTGATAGAGAAGGAGAGTGACAAGGAGGAAGGACACGATGTACAAGGACGCCGGCAGACCGAAGCTAAAGAAATAGAGACTGTCAGCCAAGTTGGCTCAGGCACAATTACAAAATAAATGCATTTTCTTGAGCACAAACTGAAACTAACACTGAAACAGAAACAGAAACAGAAACAGAAAATCGAAAATGGTGAAAGCCAACAACAGGAAGCTGCAAACAGGCAGCAATGCGATTTTGTCATTTTGTCAATGCATCTTGTTGAAATACGTTTACAATTGGCCAAAAAGTTATCAACAGCCATATAAATACACAATTGTCTACACACAAACACACACACAACACACAAGGATGATAAAAAAAGATTCTGTTCATGGTTGCTCCTCCATTTGAATAGCAAAGACATCACAATAGCTTTGAGAGTGGGGCGTGGCAAACTTGTGTTTGTGTTAGGCAATAACTTTACATTGGTTTACTCAATCACCGAGAGGAACTTACCTCAAGCTGTCGACACGGATCGATGACCTGCAATGCCATGTTGTCCAATGAATTTCCGGATATATTCAAATAGCGCAACTGTCGAAAAGGTTTTAGCAATCCAACCGGCAGTTGACCCATATCCGCAATAGCCAAATGCGTTAGATCCGGTATCAGCTACAACGAAGGACAAATAATTTGAACATTAATTGATGGATGGCGACGCACTCAATCAAGTTTGCCTGAGCGTCTCACAATTTAAAGACCTTAAAAAACTGACCTCAAATGTTTCATGCATATCCTTTAAATCCATAAGGACATTGCCACTGATGTTCAGCGACCTCAAGTTGCTTAAGCTGCGCACTGACTGCGGCTCCAGACGCACCAGCTTATTGTAGGAGAGGTCGAGAAATGTGAGATTGGTCAGCTGAAGGAACGAATCATTCGGTACTTTGGCCAACCGATTATACGATAAATCTAAGGGGATAAGAGAGAGAGACATAGAGATAGAGAGAGAGATAGAGAAGTGGAAGAGAATTTAGTGAGTTAGCTGAAAGCTAGATGACTATAATTTCAATGGCGCACCCAAGTGATTAAGACTTTTCTGCATGCGAAAGAGTTGGTCGACGACCACAGACAATTGATTGCCATCGAGTAAAACTTTTGTGAGACGCTTCACGTCGCGGAATTCATCCTTGTCAAGGAATTTGAACTGCAAGAAACAACAGGAAGCGAACCAAGAAATAATTGGCAAATGACTGTGAAGTTTTCCATTGGTGGTTTCTTTGACGACATACCTCGTTGCGTCCCATATCCAATTCGGTTAAAAGCGGCAATAAATTGTACAATTGCGGATTGATTTTTTTCAACTGACAATTGCGGCACTTGAGCACTTTCAGCTCCTGCAAAAAGGGCAAAACAGAGACACAGTTCCGGAAAGTGCGTACAGTTACAAATGTACAGACTGAACAATGTTGCTGTTGTTATTTTGGTTGCTGTTGCGTATACTCACGGAGACATCGCGAAAGACATCCGGCTGTAAATCCTGCAGCGGATTTCCGCTCAAGTCCAGGTACTTGAGTCTGCTCAGCATGAAGAAGTTGCGCTGCACGAGCTCCACAATTGAATTATCGCCCAAATTAAGACGTCGCAGATCCTGTTCGCCAGCACCCACACCACACCCCAAAATAGAGTTATACAATTGTCAAAAGTTTATTTTATGGCCACGCACCAAATTTAAATTAATAATATTTCATGCGACACAAAAAGCAAAAATGCATGGCCAATAATAATTTATAATTCCAGACCGGGCACAAATATTGCCAAGCAGCGCTTCGAACCGGAAACTAACTTGCTGAATTCGGCATGCCGAAAACTAAATACCCTTGTAGACTGGAGTCCAACGGATTGTAACTAATTACAAAAGAAAAACAAATGTATGCTGGATAAATGTTGACAATTATTTGTGTGCCAAGTCTTGTCAAAATCACCAACCGGTAGACTGGTTGGTCATTGATGCTTAACCAGCTCTTGTCGCAAAAATCTACTCTGCCTCTGCCTGACACACTTTGTAGCAGAATCATAATACTCACTGCAACAGTGTGAAAAGTTTCGAGAGCGGCTGCAGCAAAGGAACTCGGAGATATCGTTACAAGTGCGTACAGCGGGCAGAGAGGAAGAGGAAGTGGAAAACAACTTGCAGCAGTGGTGAAAACAACCAAATCGAAAGCAAATTGAAGAAAATGCACCAAGTTTTGTGCACTGACACTTCCGTTCAAGCCGTCCAGGCGAAAGCAAAAGCAAAAGCAAAAGCCAAAGCAAATGCTTTAGTTTTACTTGCAGCTGCAACTGCAGCAAACTTTAATTCAGGCACGAAGAAACTTTCATTTGCAGGCAGCAGATGAAGGCAGCAACAATTTTTGGTGCTGGCTATTAAAAATTCCATGATATTTATTACAAACTGACTTAAAAGCAAATACAAAACTATGCAGCCGAAATCTGCTCGAATATTTGAATTAGGTCTTTTACTTTTTGGAGCGTTGAACGGCATATCGAATAGCAACAGAACTTTGCGAGAAGTGCCACAATAATTATACAGAGTTGTTAAGTAAAAGTATATATTGAAATTAAATTTGCTTAGAACCTACGAAAACAAACTAATATCTTGAACTCTGATATGAAATCTAACTTCGGTCTACAAGGGTATACAATCAGTAGATAAACTTTCTTTCTTGTTTAAACTCAAAATATTCTTTTGTCATCTTTTGCCTTCTTTATGTAGCCAAGTTCGATATCAAACTTGGAGTTCTTAATAGTATTTTTTAATAAACAACTTCTTGAATATTTCTCGATGATCACTAATGCTTGCATACTATTTTCAACTGTTCTCCTTCAAAGTATTTAGCTTGCATACTATTTTCAACTTTTCTCCTTCTAAATACTTTAGTGTGTTTTTTAGCCGTTCATTGATTTATCAAACTTTATATTTAAGATCTAGTGTTAACCATATTAATATCACAGGTATCTCTGGCAGCTATCTCAAAAATGTTTCATACATTTAGTCGCAACTTCTCAATTTGCTGGCTGCTGAACTGAATGTTCACTTTAAATATTCATTGAATAATTTCGCTTTAACATTGTTTGCGCTGCAATAAAATAAATGAAATATCAAATGGATGTAGGCCACACTACTCACCGTCAGATGGCGAAATGTTGAGCTGGCCATGCGTAAAATTTTATTTTTTGATAAATCCAATTCATGCAGATTATCCTGACCACGAAAGTTATTCTCCGTTATGTTTGTGATGTTATTCTTCGATAGATCTGCCAACCATTGACATTCAGGTTATTATATTATTTTTGTTGTTTGTTGTTTTTTTTTTGTAGTCATTTCGTCAGCGGTTATTGATCGCATAAAAGAATGCAACAGTTTTTTTTTTGAGCGTGGTTGGTTTTAATAAAGTGGAATATGATATTATTTTTATGATATTGTATACAAAGTATAAATGTTCATTTGTTGTGCAAATTGCTATTTTTTTTTTTTAATAACCACAAAGAGCTTGTTTTGCTTATCATGATGAAATATTTGTATTCGAGTGCAAATAAATGGAAAACCGAAAGAGTAAATAAAAGACATTTCAGTGCACAACGAACTGAATGCAATTGTACTTGTGAAACAAAAGTCGAAAGGAACTTTAAAACAAACTGCAGGAAAACAGCACGCACACAGACACATACCGACTATTTTTGACTTCAATACGTTGTTGCCCCATTTAAAAACAAAGTTGCCGCAGATAAAGCACAGCACAGCACACAAAACAAATTACACATACGCCCCTTTGTCTAGGCAACATGAGTAGCATTTTTAGCTAAAAGCCAGGAGAGCAACTTTTTGCTCCAGTTTGTCTGGCATTGTGTCAGATGGAGGGACACTGTTACAGGGAGCAGCTGCAGCGTGCTACGCCTTCTTCAACATTTTAAACAATTGCTAAAAAATTAATTTAAATAGAAACGAGACGCGGCGCAGAAAACAAAACAAAAATGAAAAAATGAAAAAAGAATTTCATTTGCTCGCTGAAAACCGGCAACGTTTTTAACTGCAGCAGCCACTTTTTATTTGTGCCTTGCATGTTGAAGTGTGTGTGTGTGTGTGTGTTTTATGTTGACTTTTAACTTTTGGTAAGAGGGAAAAAACAAAGAAATGCGCATTTAAATAATTGGAGGGCCACGCTTGCTACTCCGGGGGCTCTGTTGTCAAACCGACAGGCAGACAGACGAGCGCACATAAAACACAAATAAACAAGCTGAAAAGCGGGTAGCGATATCGACGGATTGCCTGGTTTGGGCTTTTACTTTTGATTTTTGGCCCAATCTTATTTTATTTGTGGGTCGCTTTTCACTGTTTGGCGCATCAATTTCAATTTTATTGACAAATAAGAAATTTTCAATCATATACAGCCGAAAATACAATACACTTGACAGTTCATTTGGAGCTGGTCTGGCAAGCGTTGTGTATGACAAAAAATTAATATGCACTTTATGTAGTGTTAAGCAAGTGTAACTGCTACTATATCAAATTGAATAAGATTTTTATGCAGCTGTAAAATTATTAGAAATTTAAAAGTAAGAACGAACTCTTAGATATTTTGCGTTAGCCTAACGTTTTAGAGCCCCCCAACATGTCGCAAAAAACTAATAAAATGTGGCTCGCAAATCTAACATAAATATTTTTATGTTACTTTTTTTACAAGCTATCAAAAGATGTTCAATATTCATAAAAAAAAAGAACACAACACAGAGCAGAAAATCTTGTAAATCCCCTGGGGTATTTGCACATGATTAAGCATGACAATCATCTATGCGTTACAGGAGAGACGACGTAGTAAGGATACCCTATCGAAGGTATTACTGAGTGCTGTCGACCGCACAACGACTGTGCTCATTTAACATTTTGCGAGGCGCACTTTTATTTGCGTTGACTTTTACGAGGCTGCAGGACAACCGCAACGGTTGCTGCCTTTTGAGTCGCCCCCTTTTTGATTGTGTTATTTGCATATCGCTGCTCGACGCTGGTGAGTGTTTTTAACTAAGCGCAGCTGTTTAAATTGAAATCGCTGCTTTCGGTGCTTTTGGGCGACTTTCTAAGAGCAGCGGTCATAAACAATTGATTACTCACCTAATATGCGCAGATATTTAAGGCCCCAAAAGGACTCCGACCCAATCGCTGGCAGATTACAATCCGTGATGCGTAACTCTTGCAGCTGCATAAACTGACGCAGTGCCGGTCCAATGGTTATAGAGTTACGAGGTCCACGTATAATGATTACCTTCACGTCAACATCCAGCTGAATCGCAGATAAGGAGCTCAACCCACCTGTGTACGAAAGCAATTAAATGGTATGTAACTCGGGTGGTACTAAAACTAATTTTACTACGACTCCCACAACTACAATGCGATTTCACGGTTATAAAAATTTAAATAAAACTTATGCGCGCCCGGCCAACAATGAGGAAAGCGTAACAATGCCACAACAAGATCATTAACTGCAGAATCCAACCATGCCCCTGTCGTCTTTTTTTTTTTGTGTTACATGCAAACAATGTTTTCGGGTGGTTTCTATACAAAATTGCAGTTAGCAGTTATCCTTTTAACAACTGTGTTACCCTCGCCAACCATTTGTATCGCATACAATTTTGTAACCGCATTTGTTGTGTACTTTTATTATATTCTCTTTCGCACTGCACTATATATGTTTAAATATTTGTGTGCGTTTGCAGTTGCATTATTGTGTTCTGTGAGTATTGTTTGGGGCCACAGCATCAGTTGATATACATACATGTGTATATAGTATATATGGCCTCTGCCCGCTCTGTGCGAATTTTCATAAAGAATGCATGCCATTAACGCTGATTGTAACATATTTTAGCGCACCAGCAATTTTTGTTGGCATTTATGAGTATTTTTGCAGTTTCACAGAAAGTATTATATGTTCGGCCACAAAGGATGGATGAGCAAGGTTGCTCATTAGAACAACTTGTATTACTATTATTATTTTTTGATTTACTTTTAGTATTTTTAAGAATTGTTATTCCCACATGGAATTCGTTACTTATAACCTTTTCCAATGTTTTCTTTGCACACGATTTAAAATGATTCAAAATTACCCAAGTGAATAATCATAATCATAGAATTTAATTTGAAAACCTTCCGCTTTCAAAGACAGCAAAAAAGGGGGCCAACAAATCACATATAATAAATAACTAAAAGAAACAGGCACTTTAAATAAATTCCTTTCACATAACGAGCATATCTAATGCAGGCTGAATAATCTTCAAATTGAAACTGAGTTCGTTGTCTTACTTTCTGCCAATGGCAGACGCTTCAATACTACGAGATATGCCAAACACACATTTGTTAAATGAAATTAAAACGACAGAAGCATCGCATTCAAAGCACATTAAAGGACTTGAGGACTTACAATGTGTGCGCTAACCAAACAAGCGTTAAATTGAAATTATAGATTTTTGGCTGCATGAAGCATAAGTAAAAAGAAAAACCAGAAGAAGAAGCTGCCAGACCAAACGGCAAATGACAGTTGAACAAATTGAAATTGTCGGGCAATTCCAAAGGAGCACGACGAATGCCCAATCCTTAAAGCGTACACAATCGTACATGTGTAGACAAAAGTACTCGTATCATTCTCAGTTTACAAATCGAACTATCAGCAACTGCCACACAACTGGCAGCTGGGTAATGCGAGCAGAAAATAGCACTGTAATTATGATGTTATCCTAATGATGTACAAGAACCACATCCACAATTGCCCGCAACTGTGGATTACATGGCACAACTCTACTACTCAGCTCGTCTACTGCATAATTTGCACACACATTTTCTGTGGAGGCCCCTTTTCCGCTCGACGTCCATTTGCACTTATTGCGCCACTTACCTTTCGTGCAGATGGCCTGATAACGATTCAAATCATCAATGCTACAGCTACATTCCATGGGGCACTTCCTTCTCGTATTGCTGAACATGGCCGGCATTATGCACAAGCTGAACAGCAGCCACTTTAAAAGCATCTGTAATAGATATACACAAAAAAAAGTTGTTTTTTTTTACTTTTTTTGGTTTTTGGTTTGTCGGTTGAGTGGCAATTAGTGGGGGCTTTAATTACAGCTAAACACTTGGCCGCAGTCAGAACTAATTCAACTTTTTAACACCCCTGCAGTCACTGTTGCTCTACTTGCGTTGAACATTTTAAACTTTTTCAATAGTGTAAATGGGAACTATTTAACATGATCTAGTCGTGACAGCTCGACTGGCAGATGCCCTGAAAAACAAACTAAGTACAATTGTAGTTTGTTCAAATTATAGTAGTTTTTTGTTATTAATTTTTATTAAATTTTAGTTATACTTTACTTATAATTTACTTTATGGAGTTGCTTCGTTCTGCCCGTTAAATAATATTGCCAACTCTCCTCATTATAAATAAAGCCAAGCACATAATTCTAGTTTTATTCAAGACAATTCTTATTATTATTTTTTAAATTTAAATGAAAATCCTTGCAGTTATTTCTTAGTTTAACACATATTCTATAACCTTCATAAAATCTCTGCGTGTGTATAGAAAACTGTCTGTTTAAATATTTGTAATTTCTTGTGTCATGCGTTGGCCACTGTTGCTAATCGGTTTAGAAAACCACATCCTCCCACACCACATATTCATATACTCGCACATCCACAATCACACTCACACGCACACTCACACCCGCAATCACATTCACATTCACATTCACATTTACACCCACACACTCACTGTTAGCCATTTAAATTGAAATCAACGTGGTGTCAGATGTTGACATAGTTGTGCACTGTTTTCGTTGTAGTTATTTTAGTTTTAGTTTCAGCTACTGTAGTTGTATTTATTTTAACACATGTTCGAGTTTTAGTCGATGTGGGTTATGCTCTCGCCCCATGTTTGACCTCAGTGATTTGTGGTCGCCATCTCTGGTGGACACTGGTGCGCTCGGCGATAAACTGCGGCGGTCTCGTGGCGCTGTCATAGCCACTGCGCTCAGCATAAATTAGCCACGCCACACACACACACACACACACACAATATAACACACAAAATGTGGTTGGGGCAAAAAAGAGAGCTAAATTCAAAACTAAGCGCGAAATTATAATGCGTGCTTAGTGTTCGGGGACAAACTCAATTTGCCTGAAAGCCAAATATGCAACATGGAACATGCAACATGAAAGTTGTATATGTAATTTTCATAAGAATTTTCGCATTGCTTCTGTACGCTGCCTCGACAGACAGGCTGCAGGCTGTGTCTGCCGCAGGATTTATGTGCAGCATATTTTTCATTTTCCATAACCGACGAACAGGCAGCAACTGTCAAGTTTGCAGCTCATCTTCGCCACCTTATGCATTGTGTGCTCCTCGGATTTGCTGTCAGGATATTGCTGTTGCTGCTGCTGCTGCTGATGCTGCCGCTCGCCTTTGAGTAATATTTCTGCAAAGTTGTTGCGGTAAAAGTGAAAAATTGCGACAGCCGCCAAGACCAAAGTTGCGCCTGCTGTAGCCTTGCGGCCAAAAAAAAAAAAAAGGAAAACAAAACGGAAGGGGACAGTTTTCTTGAGTTACGTCTCACAAAAAAAAAAAAAAATGAAAAAATACTTCTCTCCATATTTTCAATTTCAAGCTCGATTTTCGTTTTTCTTTTTCTTGCATTTTTTTTGGTTGCTTTGCACACAATGCACACTCAATTTAACTTGGGGATTGCTGTACAATCTCAAAAGTGCATTTTAACGTAAGGCAAGCTGTGCGAAATATATATATATATGTGAAAGTTACTGCTTTCAACATAATGGGCTTGTTTGAGTCACATATTGCAATTGGTAGATTTATTTAACAACATTATTTGTTTGGCCGGTCATCGATAGCTTAATCTTTGATTTAAATCGTTCAATTTATTTGCTAGTTTTTCAACGCTTACCATAAATCAACTTTTGTAAAGTAAACATAAAGCTGCAACTTAATAACAAATAACGTATAAATAAAATCAAGTCAAAAATTAATCTGCACAAAATGAAAACTTGCTCCGAATCAGAAGCAGAAACAGAAGCAGAAGAAGCCACCGCAGTCGAGCGGTTAACCCAGAAGTCAGCATCTGTCAAGCTCGTTAAAGAAACTGAAGATTTGTGAGCAGGCCGCACGCTAAGCCACGCCCCCGACACAAAAACAAACACAGAGAGAAGAAGGAAAACATTTAGTTATATGGAAGTTAACCGAGCTGCCAGCTGACGTTCCACACGCTCCATTTGGACTTTGGCAAAGTTTGTTTGCGTTCTGCGCCGCCGATTCATATTGCCGGTTCGAGCACATGGCGCACGCGAATTGTCCTAAAAAGTGTGGTTGGATTGGAGGGCAGAATGGCAGAGAGACCACTTGAGCCAGAGTAGTTGCTGATATCAGCTTTCAGCGTGCATATTTTACTTGGTCTTCGTCGCATTTTGTGCTATTTAAACACTGAGCAACCGTTTGTAAGCCAAGCCATTTGCCTATTCGAATGCAAACAGAGTCTGCCGGAAGCAGTCAGCGAAACCAGAGGGGCAGTGAGGCATTAAGCTTTGCAGAACTAAATTACTCATACGCCTCATATGCTTGGGACAGTCGGATGCGGATGCGGCCATTTAATACGTGCGCTACTTTTGTAATTGAATATGATAAATCAAACCGAAAAGTTACTACCAACTTACAGCGACGACACACACACACACGGGTCGAATGGCTCGGAAGTGGCCAGAAGTGCCAGAGCTCTACATATGCATGGCCTTCTTTTTGCACTGAAGGGTGTGGAAGAAGCGGGGCTAAGTTCTCCTTCCGTTGGCTTATGGCCCTATTAAGTTACACGCTCGCTGTGCAAATGTGTTCATTTACTTTTGATTTGAGCGTCAAACTCAATTGTATTAGGTTTAATGGAAAAACATGTTTTGTTTTAGCACACAATTCAAAATGAAATAAATCTCAATATTTGTGTGTGTCGGCCGAAAATCAAATTACATTAAATTTCTCCTAAAGGCTAAGACCCCCTCCCCACCCTCTTTCTGCACAAAAAAGAAAAACTCAAAGCAGCTGGCCAAATATTATGAGTTATATGCCAGCGCGTGGGCGTGGCTCGATTTGTAACCTCGAAGTGAGAGAAGCGCGGCGGTGCGTGGTGGGGTGTTGGGGTGTTTGGGTGGTGCTTTGTGCTGACCGTCGAGCCAACATTAAAATTCATGAACACATTTATTGCCAATTACCACAAGGCCTGAGGCACGTTTTATATAGAGAGCAGAAGCTGGCTCAAATACACCCCGCACATACACAAAAGTTCCCATACCCATCCTTTTGTCCAATTCTCTGATTTGGCAGCAAATGTTGCGGCCGATTTCTGTTTCTCTTTCATTCTGTTGTTGTTGGCCTTTTTGGTTGCCTTTTATTCGATTTGGCGCTTTGCTCGCCGTCGTCTTTTTTGCACACACAAATTGATAAATTAGATTTACGCTCGAGAAATTATATTACAATATAATATATATATATATATTTTTTGGGGGCTTTAGATTTGTGTATTGTTATTGTATGTGGCGGGCAAAGTTTTAGACTTTAATGGCCAGCCAAGTGGGTTTAAAGCGAAAGCATTTCACAAATTTTGACCTGCACTTTTATTTATGGGTTCACTGCGTGCTCTGGCTATATGAGTTGGCTGCTTGTTTGTTGGTTGAGCTCCAAAAAGTGTTAAATTATGCGCAGCCACTAAATGGGCCGCAATTTATAAAAAAAAATAAATAAGAAGAAATAATATGTATGCTGATTTGGCCTTTCAAGAGTGATATATCAAATTTAAAGTCACGAGAAAAACCATATTACGATTCAGCGTTAAGTAAAGTTTATAAACTCAGACAAAATATTATACTTCATAAGTCTGGGAACGCAAATCAAATATATTAGCAATATTAATCCAGTTGAGACAAAGTTGCGACAGTTTTAAGTTTAAATCCGTCTCCGTCTCAGCCAAAGTCTTCATCATTTAAGCTTTAAATCAACTACACACATTTTTTTACAGAATGTCTTTGATGCCTTTGAATGGGCTTGTAAAATGCACTTGACTCTCTGGCCACCAAAGTTGCAGCTTGTTGCAAGCATTTCAGCAGCTTTGCGGCATTTGCAATTCAATTAAGCTAAAGCAGGGGCAGATGCCGCAGCTGAATCGAGAGCAACCAGAGATGAAGAAGTGAATGTTGATGATGCCTTTTGCTGCACTTCAAAGCAGATTTGAACAGAATATACAAAAAAAGAGAGAAGGGGGCTAAGGGGGTGTGGCTATTGTGTGTGAATGGAAGCGCTGGCGTGAAGCGTTAAAAATGCAATCAAATGACAACAAAGGAAACCTGCGACCGTGACCAGTGAGCAGCAGGTACTAACAGAGAGAACTGTGGCCTGAAGACTGAGCAGTGTGGAGCGGGGGGAGAGTAACTGCTAAGCAGGCAACTGACACTGAAACGGGTTGGACAGCTCAGAAAACCGCGATCAACATCAGCGACAATGAGACCGCTGAACGTTCGCCGCGCTTCAGTTGAAAGTTAATATCTTGCAGTTGGTTTTGATATCTGAAACAGTTGCCACAGCATTTTGGGCTGGTAGTGAAGGGTCCTTGCCTTGCTTTAGCCCTTTGCACAAAAAACTTAAAGCCGTTCACATATCACATACACTCAGAGAAAGTATCGCATAGCTCTCAGGCAACGGGAAAGATTTAAGAAAGAAATTGAGCGCTTGAAATGTATGGTTATCGTTGCCTGCTCTAAGCAAGTCCTTTCTTTGAGTGTACAGTTCATTTACTTTGGTTCAGTCGGGCTTAATGCCTCGAAATGAACTTTCGCATTGGTGGGTAGCTGGCTACGCTACGCAGAAGTGGTCAAGGTGTAGCTGTGTGGCCTTAGGAGCATTTAAGGCATCATTGAGTCAAAAGATTGCTGCTCATTTGGCGTGCTTAATTGGCCAGTGCCAGCTTAATGTCGTCGGCGCACTTCC